TTATCAGCAAAGCTCAGGCAACTTTGGTCTTGTTTGACTTGGCAAATGCAACCAGGACCCCCCCTGTGCAGAGACCCCAGTGCTGCTCCCATTCCCTTGTCCAGGAAAGACATGAATTCAGCTTCCTAATAAAGATAAGGATCAGAAGGAATGCTTTGGAAAGCTTAAGGACTTAGACACATGGTAAAAGAGCAGCCGCTCCGAGCCAGGGAACGGCTGGGACCTTACAGAGTGTTGGTGCTTGGCCTTGCCTAGATGGGCTGGGGAGGAGCTGCCCCTCTCCTATAATAAAATGCAGGTTTTCTTGTCCTTGAAAGGGTTCTCAGAAGCAGGAATGCCCATGAGCAACGGGTCCTTCTTGGCGTGTTCCTCACAGTACAGCATCAGGTCTGCCGAGGCTTTGGACACCTGCAGGAGACAGGAAAAAATAAACAGAGAAAGGGGTTACCCATGGGAACAGGATCAAAGGTGCTGAGAGCTGTGATGGGTACAGAGTCCCTATCAGGGATGGGAGAGGTACTTGGAGATAGACACATTCTGTCTCCTTGCTTCATCCTCAGGGAGGAGGAAAGGATGGACCCTGCTGCTCTGTGGGATTCATTTGTGACACCAGGTAAAGGTTCCACCTGGCTTCTACACAGGAAACTGGGAATAAACAGAAGGGGGTTCAAAATAATACAGTGGGTTGTAATGAGGAATTTCTCATCTATCCTGCAGTGACAGGGAAGAAAATGGGGGAGAAGGTTCCTGCTGCCAGAGGGCAGGGTTAGATGGGATATTGGGCCACAAGAACTGGATTTATTTACATTTGCTGAGCTGAAATGTTGATGTCACATTTTGAGATGGGAAAAAATCACTGAGCTGTGGGTGCACAGACACACACACACTCTGTTATGTTGTCCTACAGCTGGAAGGGGAAAAAAACAAGGAAAGAAAGGAGGGGTGAGGAAGGATGTGCTGTCACCTTTATCCTCTCTATTGAGGCTTCTATCCTGAGCTGCTGCACAGTCCTTCGGGCCTGAGCAATGTTGTTGGTCGTGGTGGCTGTTTTGCCAGACATTTTCAGTGGAGCAGGGAAGTTCTGTTTGAAAAGACAGTGGGTTATTTTTCCAGAAGGTGGCACAGCACCTTAAACAGCTTTTACACAGAGGCATCCACGACACACTGCAAAAAGGGCATTTTTTTTTTTTTGTTATTAAGACACCCGGCAGGAACAGGCAGTTGCAAAACAGCTCTGGAAGTAAAATATCCTCCAAAAAAAAACATGGAGCTTCTGTGCAGGCTTCTGCCCCTTGGCTGAGCCAGTGGCAGTGAGGAGGATGGGCAGAGCCATGGCTGGTCTGGCAAAAATTCCAGCACAGCTTTGGCAGCTTGATTCCCATTTGCAGTTCCCCATGGGCTTCCAGGAGAGCCCAGTGTTTACCAGGATCCATGTGCTTCCCTGAGCACATGGAAGGAGACTTGCTCCTGAGCCCACCAAAGAGCAAGGAGTGAGCCAGGATAGAACCATGGAATCATTTAGGTTGGAAAAGCCCTCTCAGATCATCGAGTTCAACTGTCCTCCAGCACTGCCAAGGCCACCACTGACCCATGTCCCCATGTGTCACATCCATACAGCTTTTAAATCCCTCCAGGGATGGGGACTCCACCACTGCCCTGGGCAGCTGTGCCAGGGCCGGACAGCCATTTCTGTGAAGAAATAATATCCATGGCACAGGCTGATCTCAGCATCCCTGACTGTTTCATAGAGGTTCATGGTGGAGCAGACACCCACCTGCAGCCCATGGAGGGACTGAGGACTGTGCAGCACTGCATTCCCAAGGATATCCCTACAGGCATCGCAGCAGCCAAGAGCTTAGTGCTAAATTAGCCCAGTGCTAAATGTCCAAGGCCAGGCTGGACAGGGCTTGGAGCAACCTGGTCTAGTGGAAGGTGTCCCTGCCCACAGCAGGGGGTGAAACAAGAGGAGCTTTAAGGTCCCTCCCAACCCAAACTAGCCTGTGATTCCAAGTTATTCAGGTCTCCAGGTACCCAAAGAGCCTGTTTGGACCAGCTCTGCCCGTGTCACTGTCCTGTGTCACAGTCTCTAGAAGACTCTGCACAAACCCTGTTGCTTGTCTTCCACAGGTCCACAAGGAAAATTGGCTCCATGGGGCTGTGCTTGAATCATTTATGGCAATACAGTGACCTGAGTCCAACATGACTCTGTGTGACCTTTCCAAGCGCTGCCCACAGCGGTTCCTGCAGGATTCAGGTTTCTCTCACCTCAGCCTGGGGAGCAGGGGTGTTTTCCAGGCAGTGCCCATGCCTGCCCAGCTAGCTGGGAACAGCATTATCCTGCTCTGAGTCCCCATTTTGGGGGAAAAATTCTTGGAAAAGCTTTGGGCAGAGGAATTGCTCAGGCTCAGGTAGGAGGGACATTCACACCTGACATTTGGTATCAATAAAAACTTATTTCCTAAAGCAAATATTAAGAACATGCTCCTGCAGATCCATGTGGATCCATGGATGTTCCGCCTCTGTAACAACCTGACCCCTGGTCTGTGTCAGTCCTGCGCTGCCCCAGCTCCCCACAAAGACCTCACGGCCCAAAAATATCCCTCAGGTTGTGCTCCAGAGAGGTCACCTATGGAGTGAGTCACACAGGATTCACTGCTCACCACCCATGGGAGGGAATTCATGCAAAATTCAAAAAGTCAACAGAATTTTTCCTCTGGAGCATTCCCGCTACAGCACGGGCTTAGCCCAGGACACAGCACTTGTGGAATCACAGGATCCCAACTACTTTGGGTTGAGAGGGACCTTAAGCTCATCCAGTTCCACCCCCTGCCATGGGTAGGGACACCTTCCACTAGACCAGGTTGCTCCAAGCCCTGACAAGCTTGGCCTTGGACATTTAGCACTGGGCTAATTTAGTCCCTGCAGTTTTCACTTACTATATTGAAAAACTGTGGTGTGAAAAACCCAACCCAAAGCAATCAATTTTTATCAAGTAGTGCATGCAGCTCTGAGAAGATAGCTCAGGATTTTCTAATTCCTGTAATTTTAGTACTTTTATATAAAAAAATAGACATAAGGTTTAAAAAATTATTGCAAAATTAAAAGATAAACCATTCTCCTCTTGTTTTACTGGAGCAAGACCAGCGTTCCCTTCCCCAGCCCCAAACCCCTTTTTTCAACTGGAGAGGTTTGAATCTCTGGATCCCTTTCCAATCTCCATGGATGACCTCCTTAGGAAAGTTCCAGCGCTTATTTTCCCAGCTGGTTAGCTTTGTTAATAAATTAGATGTTTTAAAAAAAAAGAGAAAACACAACCCAAACCATAACATTTGAAAATTAAATTGCTGCATTTCCCCATCTTCAAACAAACACAACCCTTAATACGCCTCCTAAGATCACTAAATCTCTTCTACAGAGAGATTTACAAACAACTAGGTCAGCACCCAATAATACTGTTTTCCCTCTGAGTTCCTGGCAACTGATCCGAGCTGCTGTGGCCTCCTGGAGCCACCGGATTTCTCCCAGGATGCACTGGACTTCAGAAAACTCCTCAGATTTAAATTGGTGGTGTCCACAGCTCTGCAAAACTTGGGTGTTTGTGCCCTTGGAGCCGTGGGCAAGGTTTTCTGAGGTAGGGAAGTCTCCCAAGAGAATGAAGTCAATCTCTAAAGAAATGACCGTGCGGTCGGAGAGGGCACCGCTCCGATTTCTAGGAAGCAAATCCTCATGCTCAGCAGGCTGAGCCAAAAGATATCCCAAGAGCCTGACTCATTCCAACACTTTCCCATCAGGATTTCTCCTGTTCCAGCACTCACAGTCATGACTATTTATTCTGTGCTAAATGGACCAAAATAAATTTCCAATAAGTTTTTCCACTCACCACCTAAGACAAAACACAGCTGGTGCTCAAGGCCAGGTTGGACAAGGCTTGGAGCAACCTGGGATAGTGGAAGATGTCCCTGCCCATGGCAGAGGTGGAACTGGATGGGCTTTAAGGCCCCTTCCAACCCAAACCTTTCCATGATTTTATGGTGACAAAGCTGAACGAAGGTTTGCTGGATCCAAGGTTGATGGTGACAGAGATTCCTAAACCCCAGAGCAGCTGTGGGCATGGCTGCAATTCTCACTTGTCTCTGACTCACAAACTAAAATGAGACAAAAGAATCAGTCCACCCAACAGCTTCTCTGGCCATCACCCCCTGCCATGGGCAGGGATACCTTCTAGTAGACCAGGTTGCTCCAAGCCCCGCCCAACCCAGCCTTGGACACCTCCAGGGATGGGGCAGCCACAGCTGCTCTGGGCAACCTGTGCCAGGGCCTCACCAGTCCCACAGGGAAGAATTTCTTCCTAATTTATCCATGGAAAACTGAGACCAGTGTTTGTTCAGATGAGGTGGATGCTCACCAACTGCACTTTGCCAGTGAAAGGGAAAAACACGTGAATCCTCCAGTGTAGTTCCTGCAGGCCACACACCTGCACTTTTTCCTTTCTTAAAATACCTGCAAATAGGTGGAGCTGCCCCTCTTCCCTAGAAAACCCCTGTTTTTCCAGGCCTTGTCCTTTTTCTTTCCACAGGCTTTAGGTAATGAGATGACCACGCAGCAGGTCCCCAGATCCACCTCGTCTGGGCTTTGAACTTCAGCTCCAATGGGATTATTAAACCTCAATCTATCTTTTTAACTCTTTTAGATCCACGACTTACACAGCCCCTGCAGAGTGAAAGGTAATTAAATCACCACTGATAAAGCACGGCCGAGAATCTCCCAGCAGCTCTGCCTGGCAAACAGCTCCCAGTTTGCTCCAGTTATGTAAAGCCAGCCCATAGTGGAGTGCTGAAGGCTCAAAAGGGTGAAAAGGTGTCTTGTTACTGTTTCTCTTGAAATAAAACAGCTTTTAAGGTGAATAACTCAAAACTGTAAATCCATAGAGTGGATTGGACAAAACATAAACTGACAACTACAGCACGTACAAGGTACTCCATCAGCTGCTGGTTTTCCAGCCTCTGGTTTTCCAAGGTGTCAGCCCACAGCTGGGGGTCAGCACAGATCTAAAGTTACAGCTAACCTGTAAATGCAGATTTCAAAGGCCTCTCCATTTTCAGAGCCACAGTCCTGCTTGTGGAGGACACAGGGCAGTGAGGTGGAAATGCCTCTGGGCTGGGCAGGCTCCAAATTCAGCAAGGAAACAGCAGGAAAAGAAGGACACGAGGTGTTCCAAATCCTTGTTTGGAAGGACATGAGCCTTCAGGGTGACCCCCTGACCCCACTGTGATCCCTCCTCACCCTTGGTTCGGGTGCCTTGCCCATGGGACAGGGAGGGAGCACCCCAGGGAGTCACCACTGCTGCTGCTCCCACATGGAATGTTTGGATGATGCTGCCCACTTGAGCCTGTTGGATAAACCAGAAGCAAGTACCACCACGGAAATTGTTCTCCTTTTCCTAAAAACACAGGAACAGGGGAAAAAAAGAAGGAAAAAAGCAGTCGGACAAGTCCAGAACTGCTGCTCCAGCTCATTCTCTGCCCTGAGCTGGGGGGGAAGCTCATGCCAGGCATGGCTGCTGCTCTATTCCCAACACAGGGAAGCAAACACTTCCTAAGGAGCTGCTCAGACGTGCCAGTTGGCATTTCTGCTCCAAACCCACCATCACATGGTATCTCAGGACATTGTGTTTAGGGTTGCAGCGATTCCACAAAGAACTCTGCTGGCTTACAAGTGAAACTGTTCCCAGTCCTGCAACCTCCCTGGTCTTTGCTGGAAGGATTTTAAGCTGTATCTGATTTGTGTATCACCACCACTAGTACAGGCTCTGCTTGATGCCTCACAGCCCTGCCTGAAAACCATTTTACTCCCCACACCATCCTCCCTCGCATCCCTTCCCCACTCTGCCTTCAGCTGGGACCCTGCAAACAATCTGGGAATAAAATACCATGGAACCCAAGTCCAGCTGCCTCTTCTTATTGGCTCACACTCCCCAGAGCTCTCAGGAATAAAAAGCCAGAAGCTTTGAAGTCAATTTTGCTTCTGAAAATGCAGAGATTTGTTGGGCAGGAAGGTGGTTGGAAGGAGGAAGAGGGGCTGCAAACAGCATGAAGAGGCACCAGACAAGGCCAGTCCTCATGGAGAGCAGGGAAGAAGAGCCACGATGGCCCCTGGAGGGTGGCATAAGGAGGGGCTGACGCCAGAGCCCCTCTCCAGCACCTCTCCCATGTGCAGGGGCAGGACGTGAGGTAAGGTTTTAGTGGGTTCCTGCACGTGCCACTTTCCCAGGAGCTTGTGTGGGAGCAGGAGGGCTGGAGGCCGGTTGGGACTTGAATGGTGGAGGTTGGTTTTACTACAGGGTGCTTGGGAGCAGGTTTGTTACAACTTGCAGAACCCAAAAACTCTCCCAGTCCAAGCCAAGAGGCCAATGCTGACATTAAAGGTAGGTGCAGAAATAAACCAATCCATTCTGAGGGCACATCAGAGCACAACCAGGTACAGCAATGGATGAAAGAGCTGCACACAAGCATCAAAATAATCTGTATTTGTGATACTTTCTGGCCTTGATTTTTAAATATTTAGGTCCCCAATGGAAGAATGTGTCAGAGGAATCTCAGTGTGCCTGGTACTGCCTTCTGCCAACATGTGCCGCAGAGCATTTGGCATCCCAGCAAGTGCTGACATGTCCCCTCCCAGATCCTGCACACCCCGGAACACAGTGGCACTTGGCACGAGGTGACCCACAGGGAGGGTGGGAGAGGCACAGGGTCCCTGATGGTAGCAGTAGGTGAGAGGGAGAAGTATCTAGGGAATCCTCTACCCACCTGAAACCCAAACCCTCAGGGGGTCTGCTTCCCACCCAACATGGACAGAGTCAGGAGCTGAAGGAGGTACCTCAGCCTGGCAGGACAGGCAGCAGGCCCAAGGGTTTTGCAAAGGACTTGGGAAGTCTAGATGTGCTATAAGTGTGGAAAAGAAGTGGAAGGGTTGGCATGGAGGGAGCAGGGTGAGCAGCCCTGACCTGTCACCCACCGACCCTGCACGTGTGTCCCCCCAGCCACTCTCTGAGAACGCTCCTTATCACACCCACACCTTCCACGTAAACACCATAAATACTACAAAAGCTCTTCACGCTGCTCTGCCAGAACCAGGGACCCACTGTCCCAGCTGTAACCCTAATTAGAGAGCACAGGAACGAGCCAGGCACGTTCCACACTCCTCCTGCTCCAACCGGTTGCTCTGCTCCAAGAAGGAAAGAGCACTTCCAGCAAAACAGCCCCTTCCCGGTTCACTCAGCCTCGGCGCCTGCGCAGGGTGAGCCCATCCTCGAAAACCCTGCTCTGGAAATGCAGCCAACCTCGTTTTTCCAGTGGTGGGTGCAGCCAAAGGGAAAGCCCAGGGCTGGCAGGGCTCTGCTGGCCCAATCCCTGCATGGGGCCGTGCTGACACCCAGTGGAAACACCGGTGTTGGAATCATTTGCCACACTACCAAGGAGAATGGAAAATAAACCTGGGCAGCTGCAAAACACCAGAATCCTGCCCTCTGCAGGAAAACAGAACTGAGTGGTAAAATGAAAGAGGAATTAGAGATGCTTTTGGGTCATTTCTCTTTTTAGGATACTCCATGCCTGGAAGTGTCCAAGGCCAGGTTGGATGGGGCTTGGAGCAAGCTGGGATAGTGGAAGGTGTCCCTGCCCATGGCAGAGGGTGGAATCAGATGGGCTTTAAGGTCCCTTCCAACCCAAACCATTCTGTGATTTCATGATCCTTATACCCCACAAGATGGATGGACAAGGTGGTGGGATACACCAGAGTTTCCCAGGAGGACCTGGAACCACTTGAGCACTTTGCAGACTGAACACAGCACCCACAGTACAAACCTCCCAGGAAAAGCAGCGGCACGGATCACCCATAACTTCCCCACTGGCTCCAGAGGTAGCAGTCCCCTGCTCCCTTGTCGTCCCTCAGCACAGCCCCAGCCAAGGCCGTGGCTCTGGTGCCTTCAGGAGCTGCTCCCATCACAGGGATGGATCATCTGTGGCTAGGAGAAGCTTTCTGCTCCTACTCCACACCTACCACAAACCAAACTGTGAGGAGTAGCTCCCTAGTTCCTGGCAGGTGAGAGGGACTGGATTTTTAAATAGGTATCAAGCAAGAGTTAAAATCACAGTACAAATATTTTATACACAGTAGAAAGAGTATGGGTTAGGTAAAAGAAAACACGATCCTCCCCAGACAAAACTAACTGCTTCACGTACTGGAGAGTCCACACTATGACACAGGGAACCTAAAACATGTGGTGGCTGCAGGACTTGGGGAAAGATGTGAGTGCTTTGGGATGCACACCGTGCACAGCACCACAGCCAAAGGGATCAGGGGCCCCAGATTTCAAACCCATTTTTACAGCAGAAAAGCTACAGCAAGGACAAACTCTGCTTCCATGCTCCTCTCAGAAGAGGTGCAGGAGTCAGGGCTGGGTTAGCAATGGGAAGTCTGGACACGGATACACCTGGTTTACACAGAGGTTAGCAGCCCATCAGTGCAAATGGAGAATAAAAGACCCTTAGAACACAGAACACCCCCTTCTGATGTTTCCTTTTTCAGAGAATTTACACTTGGGAATACTGAGAGATTTTACAGTGGAGATCTTTTTTTCAGTTATAAACAATGCTGCCAGTGTCTTAATTAGTCCTTTTGAAACAGATTAAAAACCATAAAATACTGTGAAATGTAAGGAAACAGACAACTCCCAAGACGATCAACTGGATTTGGTATTCTAGGTGTTTAATTAAGGTTGTGTTCCTTCATAACCTCCATCCCACAAGTTACTGCAGTACCATCCTGCTGATCAAACCTGGGCTACAGCTCCGTTTGATTTTCAAAGTCGGCCTTCATTATGTGATTCTGTCAAACCCAATGTACATCTTGGGAGATGAGTAGTGGAAAAACCTGCTTTTATTTTCCTCTGCATTTTTTTCTGACTTAACTTTTTGTATCTTTGGTACACATGAAAGCCATGAAAAGTGACTTCTAGATCAAGGTTCCTTTGAAAAACATCTGAGCAATATTATTTTAAAGACATCAGCCTGAAGCCATTGGAAAAGACAACGAACCGCAGGGCAGTTTATCCACAGAAGGTCCTTGTTTTTCCCCACAGGGCACTCCCCAGCTAAATCCCACCAGAAAAGACACACAAACTACTAAGAGACATTTGCAAAGACACTTTTAGCTATATCAAAATCAGCTCCTCTTACAGCATGTAAAGCAGGACTAGTCTGTGATTAAAGCTCCAGACTGAAAGTCACGGGATGCAGTTTGGCCTCAGGTTCTGTGACCTTCAGCAAATTCCTTCGTCTGCAAGAGATAAAGCCGAGGACGCAGGCGGGAGATGCTCTGGGAAGAACTCTGTGGGGCTCAGCTCAGAGAACTGGTAGGGTCCAAAGGATTTCACCAGCTTCTTGGCTACAAGAATTTATCAAAGCACCTATTTTTCAGGATGGGGTGAATATAGGAAGAATTTGTATGATGATATGGTCAAACAAAATGCATGTAACACAGCAGAGGCAGAAATTATGAAGACTTGCATGTTGCCCCTTCCTTACTGGGGGAATAAACAAGAAAAAGCCTAATTTCCATGGGAGAAGCAGGTGTTTTTACCCCATAAAGTCAAGTCAGTTAAAAACCCAAGGTGAATAGTATGAGCAACCAGTACTGCCAATACCAAGCTGGTGCTGCCCTTGTAACTCTCCTCCACAAAGTTGCCAAGTATTTTTTATTTGTTTTGCTCCAGAAGAAAATTAAATCGCTGGAGTCTGGGACTTGTTGTGCTGCTTTATATTTTGCATGAAAGGAAGGAACAAGAGTGGACTGGAAACTCACCTACATAGGCAGACTTGCTACCTGTCCGGCTTGCTTTGATTTTATCGGTGTAATGATCCTGAAACACAGTAAAATAAAAATTATAAGGACTTCATAATGCAAGAAAGCCAAAGCTAAGGGGGTTTGGCACTTGTGGTTTAATTCT